CTCTTTAAGCTAAGCAGAAGGTTCAGCATTTTTAGAGATGCCCAGATGGTGTCGCCTGTGGATACCTGATTTTGAATTAATGGCCAAACTGTTGCATGAGGCTGGCAAAGGATCAGGAGAGTTACTTCAGTGGATGTCAGAATGCCAGCAGGGGCTTGATGAACTAAAGATTGCTTCTGCCTTAGGTCTTCCAAACCTGACTAAATCTTTTGAACTTCTTTTTGTGCATGAGAGGGGACATCAGGTGCTGTTGTACTGGTAATACAAGAGGCAAGAAATTTGACTTTGGGGCAGAAGATTTCTGTTTATGTGCTGCATGCTGTTGTGCTGGTACTAGAAGAGCAAGTTTAGTAACATTTAGTAGCATTCGAATAGGGCATTACCTGTACTGTAGCTGGTCAATGCAATTATGGAGAGGAGGAAAACAAGAGAGTTATTGAAATGTTCTGAAGGGCACTGGATGGTACTGGATATCATGATGATGAAGCATTGAAGGCGCTGCCACCTACTTGGTCTGGAGTCTGTGCCTTGGGGCAGAAATCCCTAATATCCCTTTTGCTGTGCATGCTGAAGAAGCGCCACAACAGCTGGACACTGGTTTGTATTAAACCATGTGAGTAAGAATTCCCAGGACTAAGGAGGTGGTGTTACTTGAAAATTGCCAAAGATCTGACTGGACAAATTTGTCAAGAAAAGCCTATAAAGGCTCAAAAATATAATGTATTTGTCATTACAGAAGAAAAAAAAAAAAAAAGGGAAAGTGATCTTTTTCTTTCAATACTAGATTTCAAAAACACCTACGGAAACTTTGACCTGCAGTAGATATTTTTTTTTTCTGTTAGAGAAATGGGCTAACAGTGGAGAAAGGCTCCTTCTCTTTTAGAAATGAATATTTTCCTAGGTACCATAGGCAGAGGCAGTCAATATCTGCATACCAAAATGGACTGACATACAACAAGATGTATTTGCAATGTCCACTGGTAATATCAGACATTGACTGTATTTGCAATGTCCACTGGTAATATCAGACATTGACTGTAATGGGGAAAAGGCATGTTGCAGGGAAAGAAAATAAAGCTAAAGGAAAGAGGAAGAAAACAGAAAGGCAGCACCATGCCCAATGAGCAGCAGCAGTGCTTTCAGGGAAGTGTCCTCTCACACAAATCCTTTCTGTTGTAGCAGCAAGTTCCTCCAAACACTTCTTCTATATAATAACTGCGTATTTCTTCTCAGGCCTATTTAAATGCCATGTTAGACGCTCCTCTTATTCTTCTAAACGCAGCATGCCTTGATTCAGCTAGAAGGACTCTAGACAGCAGGTGACTAAGGCACCAGAACACCCTCACTGCTCCAACTCCCGGAGTCTCTGCCCACAAACGGCAGCCAAAGGCAGAACTCCAGCAGGTGGGGAACCTCCCCACCTCCCACAGGCCAGAGGAGGACCCAGGCATCCCAGAACCCTGACCTCCCCTGCCGCCCAACTGAAGCAATTACCAAGGCCCGCAGCATTGCAGCATCTCCTTCCTCTCCAAGCCCCAGTCTGGTAGAGGCACGCTGGTGCAAGAGCACCTGCCTGCCTGCCAGGGCCCCAGCAGGGACCAGCACCTGGCTTCCTGGCCAGGCTTCACTGGAAGCCACCACCCAGACACTTGTCTTCCTTCCAGGAGGAGCCAATCCCACAGCTGTTGCAGTCACTCCACCATTACAGTCCCTGGAGGCACATCCATCCCTTCCATAGGCTGATAGCCCCCCTGAGTTCATCGCCTTTATGCAGCCACTCTTCAATCTAGGAGTGTACAACAGCAAAGAGAAACCAGCAACAGCAGCACACTCCATCCTGCCAGTTCTAGTTCCCTCAGGGCAGCACTGACCGCCAGCACAGCAGTGTGACTTGACCCTGCACACCTTGACCCAGGGCATTGTCCAGCCTCCCCAAGAGCTGCCCCTGCGGCCTCGTGGTAGCATTCACCCAGCTGCTGGGGACATGCCAAAGTGCCACAGCAAGACCCCAGGCCAAAACAACGGCCTCCTTGCCACATATTACAGTGCCATGACCCTTGTTTAAGGCCTGTGCCATGCCAATGACCCCACCCTGACCTCCTCTTGCCGCATCACCCCCTCATGCTCCTTGACCACCCATGCCCCTCTGACACTCTCCATGGCCTCTTTGGCCCCTGGCTCTCCCAACTGCTCATGCTTTCAGATCGCTCTACATTCCCTGACCCCACTGTTAATGCAACAAAGTACAAAAGTAATGCAAGCTTTGCTATTGCAGTTGATTTTCCGCCTCTCAAAACATGCCAAGAGCCCGTATCTTTCCACAGCTTTTAGTTGCCCAAATTATACATCTACCCCCAAACTCCCTCCCACAGCACAGTCTCACTGCAGGAGATGGATAGTCTGGATGATCCGATGGTAAGTCCATGGTGAGTTCATGACAGTTCATAGTCGGTATCTAGTATGCTTGTGGTGGTTCCACAGTGCAGCTGCCAGTGCCTTCTCCATAGGGACATCCTCACACCTGGTCCACATGGTCCTGTAGCCTCCCCAGTGCTCCTTATGTCTGCTTCAGCATTTCTTTCTCAGCTGGAACATGGAAGTCTCACTGAGTGTGAGGATGCAGGATGGTAGTGCAGGTACTGAGTGGCTTTGCCATCCACTTCATAGTCATGTAGCCCTCGCTCTCTCCAGGCCCGCCTCTGGCTCCAGCACCCTGACCTCCTATGGCTCTGCTGCAGCACCTGCAAGGGCCACATCATTTTCCTCCAGGACACTGGCCACATCCTGAGGCTCCTGAGACACCAACATCTCCCGCAGCACAGACAAAGAAGGTGTTGATAGCTGCCCTCCCAGAAGCTCATTAATCTCTCGCACCAGTGTTTCCAGGACTCTCAGCTGGTACCGGTCCAGCCTCATCTCTGCATGCTGCAAATAGATAAGCCGTTGGGCACCAGCGTGCCTCACGTGGACGGTTTGCGGCTGGGAGCTGCCCTCTATCTTTGTACCACGGTGGACCAGCACAGTACGGATGCTCTCACAGCAGTGCACTTCCAACTGTTCTCCTGCAAAGCTACTGGGGCCCTCCGTTCTGATCATCCCCTTGCGGCCCTGCCACTGGAGCAGGGCCTCCAAGCCCCTCTGAAACCATGGGGATACCAGGAGGGACTGCAGACGCTTTTGCTCAGGGCAGTGGGGACTATAGCGGCACGGCTGCAGGCTACTCTCCTCCAGATGTTTCTCTAGCACCTCTGAGAGCGCTCGTGGCCGCATGTGCTGGGGCAGCATTTGCAGGAGGTGCCAGCCATTGACTCCAGTCTTGGGCAGGTCAGCCATGAAAGTAAAGGTCTTCTCCAAAGTCCTGGAGATTTTGGAGGACACACAGTCATTGAAGAAGAGCTTGTGGGATGACTCTAGGTTGTTTGCAGTGGTCAGCAGGTACAACTCAGCCACAGCAGAAAAATCAGGGGACTCTCTTGTCTCCTGAAGCAGCTGGAAGAAGTGCCATGTGGCCTGCAAGACTGTCTTCCTCTGGGTTTCATGAAGGGTCCCATTGGCATGGCTCTCCTGGTAGATTTTGGCCAGGACACTAGTATAATGAGCCAGCGTAGGTCGTGAGACCACCCCAAGGTGCTGCAGAAGGTTTCCATAGAAGGCTATGAGAGGGTCAGGCATGAAGAGATATGGGTAAAAGTCAGCCTCATCTGGGAGTGATGTTACTACTTGCTGTGGTTGGGCCATGTCTCCCATCTTGGTCAGCACCACAGGCAGCTGTGCAAGCCTTCCCACATCTACTTCCTTCAGACGGCTCTGCAAAAAGTTGTACATCTTCTGGAGAACCCTGGCCCGTGTGGCGACTTGCTCTGGTGTCTGGCAAGCTGCCATGCACACCTGTTCCAAGTTGGCCTGCACCAGGGCAGTGGGTATCTCTACAAAGACTCCTGCAGCCTTCAGCTTTTCCAGATTCTCCTCAGAAAAGTATGGCGGCAGGATGGTGGCTGATGTCCACAGGAGCTCACTCAAATCTTGGTGGTCATGACAAACACTGTCCTTCAGGGTCACAGGCTGTCTGCAGTCTGCAAAGGGAGGGTGGAGCTTGCTCAAGTTCTTGGGCACTTCCAGGGGAGATAGGAAGTGAATGGAGGCAATTTGCTTCAAAAAATCCTCTTGCAATGGGTTGTCCAGCAGAATAACAAGTTGGTTGACCATCTCATTCTGTCTCTGAAGCAGATGAGTCTGACCCTTGGTCTGGGTTGCTTCATGCTCGATCTTATGGGCCAGTACCAGAAAATCCTCCTCAGAGAGACTCTTGCGGACACCTACCTGTAAGAGGAAGGAACTGGCAGCTCTCATATTGGCCCTCAGTGCCTTGAAGAAGGACTCAGGCACAAAGCGGTGCTGCAGCTGCAGCGTGCAGAGGGAGGGCAAGTTGTCATAGAAGTAGGATGCCTTATGCAGCATGCCATTTGAGTCAGGTATGAAGGCCACAGTCTTGAAGGCTGTCACAGTGGCCTCCTTGAAGTCATCCTCATAGGCATGTTGCACTGTTAAGAACAGATTCACTGCACTCACAAGCTGTGGCGCTGTGAGCTGAGGCAGCCGAGGCAGCACCACAGTCGTGAAGAGCTGCTGGACATCTGTTTCTCCCCATCCTAAACATTTGGCCAGCTGCTTGTGGAGATGGTCATTTTCGAGCAACAGCAGGTCCTTTTCAAGGCTGTACAAGGCTTTGCTATCAGAAGTCAGTAATGGGAAGTGGTTGTTGAAAATCAACACCTTGCGGTAGGATGCCACAGCTACACGGCCTCCATCATACTTCTGGAATAGAGGCAGGTGTCGGAGATGCTCCAGCGCCTGCCTATCCAGCCTTTCCTCAATAATGAAGTTCAGCAGCACAGTCATCTCCCATGGTTTTAGATCCTTCCAGCAGAGATCAGCAATTGTGTTGGCTAGTAGGGCCAGCACAGCCTTGGGATTTGTGATTTGCAGTGTCCGTGGCTGGAGGCAGTGGGAGGCAAATGCAAAGGGCAGCAGGGATTTACGGAGCACAGGGATGCCCAGCTTATGCAGCACTTTGGCCACCTCCATGTTACAATCATAGAGAACATTGGGGAGGGAGGAGAGTGACACCAGGCATGTTGAACCTCTTCCATGCCTTTGCACAGGTAGCAGCACTGCATTTTGAAGATTGTGTATGAACATGTGCATGGCCGCGTCCAACATCTCCTCATTAGCCTTTGTGGCCTGATAGACCACAGTATCAAAGAAATACCACAGTCTCTTCAGCCACTCCTGCCCATTTGCAGCCTCATGTTCCAGTGCCTCCTGGATGAATGGTATTACTTCTGGCAGTCCAAGGCTCTGCACAAATGCAGATGGAGCCTTTGCACCCACAAGGCTGTTGGCAAATCTGTGGCTTTGCTTGGGGAAGAGGTCGGCAAAGGAGCTGCATAAGACTGGCTGATGGGTGCTGAGGGCACGTAGGTAGCCATCTTGCATGGCCAGCAAAGGAAGGCCCTCCAACTCTGTTGTGACCTCTGGGTCAGACATTGTGGGCTCCAGGCAGCTCTGCAGCAGGAGGGAGCAGCTCTCTGGTGTCCTCAAGGGCGTCTCAGAAAGCAGGCAGGGTAAGGGGAGAGCCAGAGCCCTGAGGAAGCACCGGAGAGATGCTGGCTGCAAAGCCACAGCTGCCACATTAGATGCCTTGAGCTCCTGGTAGATCTGCCACAGGTGGGTAAATGCTGGCACCAAGTTCATGCCCAAGTGCTGCAGCACATCCCGGTAAGCCGGGTTAGGCTCACTCTCAAGGAAGTATGGTTCTTTCAGCACATCTCTGCCACCTGGAGATGCCCAGGCCAATGTCACCATGCTGTCAGTTTTTTTCACATGGCACACAGGCATCAGTGGCAGGCACTGGTGAGTAATGAACCTGTAGATGCCTCTTATCAGGTTATGCCAGATGGGTGGCACATTCTCTGTCACAGTAGGGAAGAACCGAAGGTAGCAGTGGGTCAGGCACTGCTGGCAGTTCTTTAAGGATTTGAACTGGAGCTGTTCAGGTCCCAGGGCTTCCCATTGCTTGGCAAGGAAGCTGTAGTAGACTTGGACCACCAGGCACCGGAGCAAGAAGTCATTCCAGGCTGCTTCAGTGCTGCCTGGGTCTTGGCGGATATTGCGTCGGGCTGCATCCACGGAGAAGTTGGCATTGATGTGCACAGGCAGCCCCGTGGTCAGTGGCAGTGGGAGAGTGCAGAAAACCTTGCCCGTGGGATTGTTCAAGACCTGCGGATTTAGGCAGGCAGCCACAGCTCCATATGGCAGCCTCCCAGGCATCGGAGACTCCTCAGACCCCTCTTGAACTCCAATTTGGGCAGTCACCCTCCACTCTGCACTGGCAATGGACCGACTGGTTTTGATCTTCATGATGTAGGAGACAGAGATGGGGCCATCCCCATCCACACTTTGGCTTAGCCTGGCTTGGAAACCCCGTCTCAGCTCCGCATCTTTCTTTTCAAGCTCTATGTCCACCTGTAGCCTCCTGACCAATGGCCCCCCATCCAGGGGAATTTCAGAGAAGATTACAGTGTGCAGGTGCCGGAGGAAAAGAAGCAAGTTACCATCTTCCTTAGTCAGTGTTTTCTGCATGTCCACAAGGTCTTGGTCCCGCACAACCATGCTAGACACTCTAGAGATGTCAGCCCCAGATGCGGTGCGGAGGGGCAGCCGAAAAAGGACGCCCTGGCTCAGATCAAAAAGGGAAGGCAGGAAGGTGTCATAGACATCTGAGAAAGCGCTCTTAAACTCAGGGTTGACAGCAAACATGCCACCGGGCCTCTCAGCTGTGGCTCCAGGCACGTAGCTGAGATGGGGATCAAAGATGCACAGGGCACTGTCTCCAGTAAGAAAGGCTGGGCAATCAGTAAGGTGGTAGACAGTGTTGAAGCCAAGGCCAAATTTGCCTGTAACATCCTGCCGGCCCTGCTTGCCACCCACTCCCAGACGTTGGATGCCTGCGATGTCTTCTTGCTGGAGGGGACGGTCATTGTAGACGCAGAGAGCAGGGCCTTGCAGGGTGTTCCAGGCCTCACTGAAGGTGGAACTTACTGGGTGCTGCCGGCGGTCCCACACAAAGTGAACAGTTCCTGCGCCAGCATCATCTGCATTTTGGAGCAGCTCCATCACCACATCACGAGCAGATACTGAGTACTCGGCCAAGATATTTTTGAGCCGTGTGGGCAGGTCTTCTTGGGCACCGAAAGGCTGTGCCCAGAGGCCACCAGCCACATGTGTTGCCAGCAGCTGGCTCCTCTCCAGGGCCCGGTGGCGTGTGGTTGGCACCCCACAGCGCAGGGCTGTGGCCCGGGACAGATTTTCATGGCACAGCATGGCAGCTTTGTCCACTGGCAGCCATGGGGTGTCATTGAAGTAGAGCTTGTCACGTGGACGCAAAATGCCCTCATGGTCAGGCAGAAAGAGTTGCTGGGTCTGATAGGCATCTGGCTCTTTGTCATCTGTTATCAAGCCACAGGTTATTAGCCGCAAGGCCAGGTCCAGGTCTGGGGCAGGTAGGGGCTCTCCATCATGCTTCTCCGCCAGGATGTGGAGCACCTGGGCATAATCATTCCAGGTGAACGTGTGGCGCAGCTTCACACACTCCCAGAGTTGTCTGTAGGGCCGATACTGCATTGGGAGCTGGTGAAGATAAGGGACAGCTTCAAATGTCAGAGTCTCTGCCACTGCTGTGACTGGCACGAAGTAAGAGTCGACCAAGATGAAAGGATCCCCTTGGGCCACTGCAGTAGTCACCTCATCCCAACTGGAACGGTCTCTCTTGAGCAGTGAGTCCAGATAGGCATAGCAGCAGCAGGTAGTGTCCTGGAGGCTTGCAGCAGGGAAGGCGTTGGAAGTCTGGCTCAAGGCCTGCAGCTGCCCAAGGACTGCAGCTACTGGTGGCTGCCGGTCCAACCCCAAGAAGGATGTAATCTCTTCAGTGATGCTGAAGTTCTTTCCCAGCATTTTAGGAGCCAAGATAGGATGAACAAGCCCGACTAGTGAGGCATGGTGGTGATGGTAGAGCTGGGCAGCTGGAAGCAGGACATGTTCACCAGTGGGCAGTGTTCCAGGCAGGAATGGCACAGACTGGAAGGCAGCCTGGATGGGGTTGCTCACCCTTTGCTCCACTGCATCCCGAAGTATTTCAAGGATGCAGGCAGCCTTCTGGCATCCTAGGGCATGGTCCTGAGTCCAGATATGCTTCACTGTCTTTGCCTGCTCCAGTAGCTCTGGCAGGGCTAACATGTCCCGAACCATGCCCAGCTGCTCCAGCCGACCCAGTATCTCTGGAGACAGGAATGCATTCCCAAAGGGGAAGCGCCCATCCTCAGCATTGTATAAAGCGGCTGCACGACCTCTGGGATGCACTAGGTGACTAATGAGCTGCAGGTGTCCATGAGGGGTGGCAGGAATACAAGGCACTGTCTGCAGCACCTTGTCTACCTCATCATGGAGCATATCTAGTGCGTGGAGAAGCAGTGGATCCCGGTCAGCCACAGAGAGGTCTTCCAAGTTTGGCAGCACAAGCTCACAGTAAAACCGTGGCCAGTCATAGGTGCCAGCAGCCACTGCTTCCCCAAGGCCCCTCTGCACGTGCTCTGGCAACATTACAGCCAACAGAGGATGGGACAAGGTGGTGGCAAAGACACGTTCTGCTATGGCCCCTAGCTTGGGGTGCCTGGCCACAGCTTGGTGCAGGAAGCGGGCATCCTGCAGCGAGCACCACGAGCAGCCATCAGAGAAGAGCCTGGGGCCATTCCTGGCTGCCACAGCCTGATAAAAACCAGACACTGCCTCAGTAAAGGGATAATGGGCAGTGTTGATGTCTGGCCAAAAGATATGATATTCATAATTCTTCAACTCACCTGCCTCATGCAGGGTGCGAAGGTGGGTCAGTGCCTGAAGCCAGGCAGTTGGCACAGCATCCCGAAGCAGTGCCTGGTTCCACTTGCCATGCTCTGCTGTGTTCCGCAGCCCTTTGCGGTTTGAGAGGATGCTGAATGCCCCATGCACATGGATAGGCAGCCCTGAGGCCACTGGTAGGGGCAAGTGGCAGAAAACCTGTCCTTCCTCAGCACCCATGCGTGGCACCCACTTGCTGTCTGCAGTGAGGTCAAGGGGAAGGGCCACACCAGCCACAGCGGGCATACTCTGGAGCCCTGCCTTTGTCCTCTGGTGAAAGAGCTCCAGGGATTCTCCAACTCCCTGGCACACCAGTACTAGGTAATGCCGGGTGGTCTTGGAAGTGTTTTCATGGACTGTGATCTGCTCAATGGCTGCCCAGCTTGAGGAATCTCCAGGGGCCCCCGAGTCTTGGATCTTCTTTTGCTGCAGAGTGGCCAGACACACAACATCCTCAGGTGAGCTGGCTATATCTGTCAGCATTTCCAGGGATATCTCCTTCACCCTCTTCAGGAAAAGCAGCAGGAGCCGACTAGAGCCAATGAAAACATTGCCAAGGGACTGGATACGCTCTGAGCTAAAGGCCTCTGAGCATATCTGTGATGTCATGGCTTCCTCTTCAGTGCGGAAAGGCAGGCGGAAAAGTGTCCCTGGAAAGGCTCCTTGCTCAGGTAAATGGCACCCAAAGATACCCTGATAGGGGCGGAACTGCTCAGCAAAGGCATGGAGGATGCGAGGATGAGTGGAGAAGTCTAGGCGGATGCCAGGGCTGCCAGTCCTGGGGATGTGGTTGCCCAGATGGGTGCCATTAGGGTCAAAGATGAGCAGGGTGGTCCCACTCAACACAGCTGGCACGTCTGTGATGCGGTAGACACAGCTGAAACCCAGCCCAAAGCATCCAATCCGTCCTGTCTGGTGCTCCTTTGTAGCTGCCCCGACCCGAGTGATGTTACAGAAGTCATCCTCTGTGAAAAGGGCATTATTGTAGGCCCAGAGGGCTGGGCCATGACAGGCAGCCATGCCTGGGTCTAGCAGCCCGGTGATGGCCTTTCTGCAGTGTCGGAGGTCCAGGAGGAAGCGACAGATTGTGGCTCCAGCATCTTCTGCATTCTGAACCATCTCTGTGAAGAGGTCACGCTCCTCGCTATACTCACGAAGGATGTTGCGGAGCCGCAAGGTAATGGGCTCCAAAGGTCCACATGCTACGAACGGCTCTGGCCCCAGCACCCGGGTGCTGAGCAACTCTGAGCCAAAGAATATAGCAGTGCTGGATGGTACTGCCCCATGCACCACCTCTTGCATGTCCTCCTCTGCCTCCAGCTCCATGTCCAGGTACACAGCAGAGCCAGCTGGACGAAGGGCAAAGCCAGAGCCTTCTGGGACCCTCACAGGCACCGGCACTGTGCTGTCAGCCTGGTAGCCTCGGTTCTTGAGCCACTCTAGGACCGCCAAAGCCACCTGCAACTCTGCTTCTGTACCAGCACCAGAACTGCGGGCATCTATGTTCTGTCCCAAGTAATGCAGGGCTGTAACTGCCCTATCCTCACTCACCCTTGCCTTTACCCCCCAAGCCCTGAAGAGACAGCTGTAGGGCAGAAAGTCTGGGGGCACACGGGATACTAATGATGCCAGATCCAGCTCCTCAGGGTATTCCAGCACAGCATCACCTGGCCTGACGAACCCAACCCCAGTCCACACTACAGCATCTTCTCGGGCAGTCCCAAAGGTCTCCAGATCTTCTTGCATGTGCTGGTAGACAGCCTGGAGTGCAGGAACAAGCTTAGCTGTATCCCTGCACCCTGCCAGGCATGTCAGCTGCTCCCAAACCTTCTCTGGTGGTGGGGACTGATGCAGCCCCAACTTCTCCTCTGCCTCTGGTGTGAAGACACCTGTTAGAGGCATTGCAAGCCCCACCAGTCTCGTGTATTGGGTGGACCGTAGCTGTTCTGGAGGCAGGAAGGGCTGCTCAGGCTTTCCAGTGCACTCTGAACAGGGTACCCATGGCAGAGCACAGAGCTGCCTAAGTTCCATTGGGCTGAAGTTAGCCAGTGCCTTGGGATGATTGCAGACTTCGATCAGTGCCTTAGCCCTGTCCAGAGCCATCCCATCACCCCCACTCACAGTTTTTGCAGCCTCTAGGATATCTGAAGCCACCAGACATCCCTTGCCATGCCGCAAGCCTAGGACTCTCAAGGCATGGAGGATAGGTGGACTGCAGAAGGAAGGAGGGGGGAAGTGTTCAGGACCTAGTAGCACCTGCAAGGTACTCTCACAGGGGTCGTAAAGGTCTCGTGGTTGCACAGGGCCTCTTGGGGTCTCCAAGAAGGCCAGGTTGCTGCAGGCCTGCAGGAGCGTGGGGCTCTGCGCAAAAAGGGTGTCGCCATGCCGCAGCACCCAGAGCAGCAGCCCCTGCGCCTCAGCTGCCCGCCCTGCATATGTGCCCTGAGCCACAGCTCTGACGCCCTCCAGTGCCACACAGGCAGCACTAACAAAGGACTGCTGGAGCCGTCCCAGGAGACGCCGGTCAGCTTCATCCCGGCACCACAACACAGCCTTTGGCAGGATCACATCTCTGGGCAGCTCCAGCTCTGACTGTAGTGTTGGGGTGTCATTGGCAGGTACCAGTCCCATGGGCTGTGGGGTGGCCAGGCAGGGCAGTGGCATGAAGAGAGGCAGAGTGGCCAACAAGTCTCTCTCTGTTTTTTCCAGGGATGGGACATCTGCCAGGTAGAGTCGGAGGGTATCCACAACTACAGTGGTCAGCGAGGCCAGGCGGGAGGCCACATCTGCAGTCTCCCGTTTACCCAAGGCTCGCAGGGCATTGAGAGGGGATGGGGGTAGGATGTAGCGGGACAGAGTGCGGTGCCATATGCCTGGGGGCACCACAGAGCAACCCAGGGCTTCCAGGATGGGAGCCACATTGGATGGCAAACATTGGTCCTCCCATGACTGGAAGATAAGGCCAGACTGGGGTATGAGTTGGGCTAGACGGATGGTAGGAGCACCCAGTACGGACAGGGGGACCAGGGGAAGCCCCTCCACAGGGCCCAGGTCTTCCATGTGGTTGGCTAGGAAGAGCCACAGGGCTGGAAGCCACGAAGCTGGGGGCTGGGGAGGACCTTGGGCCGGGCACCAAGACACTAGGCTTGAGGACTGTGATGTCCAGGTTGGGGGCAGAGCTGACCGTAGGGTTCGGGCCGTCATAGCAGGGTCCAGCAGAACCAGGTTAGGGAAGAGACCTGTGGTGGGGGGAAGGAACAGAGATTTGAATGGGGGATCTGGAATTAGGGAGACATGAGATGTACAGGAAAGGATTTGAGATGTGGAGAGGATGAGTGAATCTCACAGAGGGAGTGAAGAAACCCAAGCTCTGGTGGGACATAGGGTACCTCGGTAGGAGAAACAGGGGGATATCAGGTTGGTGGGGACAGAGGAGATCTAAGAGGGCAAGGGGGAAGACGGGTGTCCCGAACCGGGGAGCAGGGAGGTCCTCAGATGGGGAAACACAAGGAGGCTTTGAATCTGACATGGGACAGAGATGATGGGGGGACATGCAAGAGACATCTTAGGACACCTCACTGATGGAGGTACAGGAAGACCTGGGAAGGGACAGAGCAGCCCAGGACCTGGGCCCAGGCCCAGGACAGGGGAACCTGGGATCTGAGAATGCATCCCAGATTGTGGGGAGAGTAGAACTCCTGATGTGCAGTGCTGTGGAATGGATGGGGAGGATCCCAGATGTATCAGGGGGTTCAAGGAGCTATTGTTTGACGGATGATTTGGGGGCCCAAATGGGGATCAGGGGACCCTAGGCAAATACAGGAATTCTTGCTCTCTCACCTGCCTTGGCGATGTCCCGCAGGAGGTTGTCTAGGGCTGGCTCCAGGTTAGAGGGCAGGAAGGACCCAGACAAGCCAGGCAGGAGTACCCTGTGGGAGCAAACGAAAGATGTTGACGGGGTACAAAGGTAAGAGGGGGCAGGGAACTTCTCAGACAGCCAGGTTCAGTTCCCACTCAATTAGACTAGGGGGAAAGGAGCAGGGGCAATGAGGTGCTCAGATGTCTAGGCTCAACCGTCCCACATATGTTCTGTCAGGCTATGTCCCAGCCCACTCAAGTACTTGGGTTCCCCACCTGTTCAAAAAGGACTGGGAGCAGGACAAGGATCTGGATACCTGGCTGCTCTGCTAGCTCACCTGGGGCAGTCCGATGTGTCCACGTAGACAGTGTCCGCTGCACTGCCAAAAGCCACAAAGGTACCATCAGCACGAGGCAGGAGTGGGAGGTCCTGAAGCTTGGCATAGTTTCTGTCCCCAGCCACATAGCGCAGCAGGCACAGACGGTCTGAGGCCAGGAACTCCATATCCCTATGGCTCCTCAGTACTTCTCGCACACGGTCTGCTGAGGCCTCCTGCAGGCCCTTGGCCAGTCCCAGTGCCAGCACCCTCTGGACATGGGCTGGGACGACAGCCACTGGCTCCCCAGCTGCCACTAGGAAGGCCTGGACGACCTGCTGTGTATCCGTGTCCTCCATTTCCTCCATCAGCAGAACAGCCTCTGTAGCCTTCAGCAACCCTGGGGCCCCCTCAGTGGCTGGCACCAGGGTGCAGGCAGCTGCCAGCTCCCGGCAGACATTGGCCACTACTCCGTGGATACGGCCATGGCCTGGAGTGCACTTGGGATCTGGCCAGATGCTATAGGGGTCAGCACCAGGCAGAGCTGCAGCCACAGCTGCCATGTGGCCATAGATCTGTGGCAGGAGGTTGAGAAGCAGCAGAGCGTTCCAGCTGGCATCTTCATCACTTTCCCCATCCTCAGAAGGCCAGCGGAGATGGCGGCGATCATCGGAGAGGGCAAAGGGGGCACTGACATGCGCAGGTAGCCCTGTGGCCATCTCCTCAGTGGCTGGCAGTGGTAGGAAGCAGCAGAGCCGCCCTTGGCAGGGGCCATTGAGGGGGTGTGCCAGGCTCAGCTCAGGACTGCACCCTATCCGCCCACCCAGCTCCACAGCCACCCCTGACGTGGCTCTGCCTGTGGCCACCAGCCACTCTGGCCCATCCCGAACTCCATCCCTGCACAGGGCCACCTGGCTCCACGTCAGGCTCAGCCCTGTGGCTTCTGCTGGCCCTAGGACAGGGAGAGGCTGGGAGGATGCTGCTAGGGTACCCATGAAGGTATGGGCCCCATCAGGTGACACATGATGCAGAGCTAAATGTCGGACATGGCGAAGGAAGAGAAGGGCGAGGGGGGCTTCAGCAAGGAAGGTCTGGAAGAGTCCATGGAGGGACCCAGGACTGGAGACGCTCACAGCAATGCCTGAGGGTTGCCGTCGGAGAGGGAAGCGGAAGAGAGTGCCCTGGACAGAGTCACGGCTCTGCCCCACAGTCTCCAGTCCAGCCCAGAAGGGTTCGAAGAGGCCAGGCAGATCCTGGGCTGCAGAGATGTCCCAGCGAGCACCAGCACCTGGCAGCACTTGGCATTCAGGGTCCAGCACCCCCAGAGCTGGGGGGCTCAGTACTCCTGGCAGGTCTGGGGACATGGGCATTATCAGGTCATGGGACCAACACAGTCCGCACAGTCCGCTTAGTGCCTCCTAGCCCACCAACGCCCTGAATGCCAACCCAAAAACCAACAAGTTCAACCCTCCATGCCTCCCCTGATACCCATGTTAATCTCCGTACCCTAGTTCTGCCTTTATTCAGTCCTCCAGGCTGCCCAACCCTCCCAGTTCCTAGTTTTGCCAGGTTCACCCATTTCAGACCCATCCAGAGTTACCCAATGACTCCCAGTGGGTCACCCTGTGCTCCCAGAGCAATCCCATACCTCCCATGCCTTCAGTGCAATCTCAGGCCCCCAGGTCAGACCCCCAACACTGCTTACCAGTAAGGTGGTAGACGGAGGTGAAGCCCAGACCGAAGCGCCCCACTTTGCCGGGGTCCCCTCGCTTATGGGACACCCCTGGGCGCATGAGCCCAGTCCAGTCCCGGGGGGACAACGGAGCATTGTTATAGGCCAGGAGAGCCGGGCCTAGAGAGCCAGGGCATCAGGATTAGGGGGGAAGACTGGGGACATGTAGGAGGGCTGGAGAGGGAGGGCTTGGACCCACACTCCCCATCCCCGTAGTCCCATTCAACCCATCTCAATGCCCCAGTATCACCAAGTCCTTCCAGTGTCCACAATACCGCCACTTTTATTCCTTCCACGTCTCACAATTTCCTCTGATACCTCTTGATTTTACACCAATATTCCCCAATCCCACCCAGTGCCCCCCAGTACTTCCCAGTGCCCCCCAATCCCAATCCTCCCCAGTACCTCCAAATGCCTCCCCTTCCCTCTGATCCCCTGAATTCTCCCCCATTACCACCCACTTACCCACATCTCCCAGTCCCAATGTTCCACAGTGCCTCTCACCCTGGGTCCCCTCCAGTCCCCCTCCAGCGATGACATCAAACTCCCGCTCATCGGACACAAATACGACCTCGGTAGCGCCTGCATCATCTGCATTCTGCACCAGCTCCTGGAATTGAGGATCAGCACCTTGACATCTGGGTCCTCCCTAATCCCCAGGGAAAGCACCAAGCCTGCCCAGACACCTGGAACCTCTGTCTGCCCCAGGTGGGCAGGAGGGTCTAGGAATTAGTGTTGGGCAAGAACCACCCTCCCACCTCAAGCTCCTGGGTTCCTTGCCCATCAGAGAGCTCTGCAGTTGAGTGGGAATGGTCCCTGGTGTCCAGGGACTCACCTTGAGGATCTGCCCCCCATCAGGGTACTTCTCCAGGATGCTGTGTAAGTAGTCAAGGAAGATGGGTGCTTGCTGGCAGAAGGCTTCTCTGCAAAACAAGGAGATGGCCGGGGGAGGGTGGTGAGTGGGGAGCAGTCCCCATGGGTCCCTAGGACCCTCATGAGCCTCTTGGGAACCCTATGTCCTTGTGAGACCCCTCTATGCCTCCATCGCCCCTAGAATTCCCCCTAGTCCCACCAGCTCCTAATGGGACCTCCCAGAACCTTCAGCCCCATTCCTCACACAGAATCTAATGACCTCCTTGGCCCATCACACAATTCCAATGGACCTCAACAACCCGAGCTCCTCCCCAGTAACCCCTGAGCCCTCAGTAATCCTCATGAACCCTCACAAAATACAGTGCTCTTGCAAGCATCAAGGAAGCCCCACAGCCACACTCACGCTTTTGGTTGTCCGAGGGCCATGACAAAAAGCGCAGTAGGGTGCAGGGTAGTGCTCCCAGATGTCTAGATTCCTGTCCAGTTAGCGGATTTCATTCCGTGATTGAGACACTTAGGACTCTGTCCTGTTAGCTCCTCCTGCTTACTGTCTGTGGCTGCAATGCCTGGAACTTCCACCACGTGCTCCACAGGGACCCTCCCACTTCGGCAGTTTCGTTTCCTTCAGGCAGCGCCTGGGCTGCGTCAGTTTTCTAAACCCAAAACTGCAGTGCTGGGACGGAGGAGGGGCCATGGGGCCACCATAGGAGCCCAGCAGTGGGAATGAAGGGGGTGAGGGGGAGAGGGTTACAGCCATGGTGGGGAGCTTGGGCTGCATTCATCAATGCATCCCATGGGGAAAGTATAACAGCAGTATGGAGCAGGGCAACAGGGGAGAGAGCTGAGGGATGTGATTGCTGTACAGATGCAGGGGGAATGACTTAAGAGCAATGGAGTGGAGTGGACATGAGAGTGTTGCTATGGGGCTGGAGAGACATTGAGATTCTGGCTATGGACCAGAGTTATGTGGGATGTGGCTGTGGGGTGGAATTGCTATGGGCAGGGACATATGCCTGTGGGGTTTGGGGATGTGGAAACATGGCTGTGGGGTGGAATTGCTATGGGACAGTGAGACACTGTGATGTGGCTATGGCATGACGGGTATAGAAGACATGGCAGTGGACTGCCAGCTAAGGCCACAATCGGAATCATTAGAGGGCCATGTCCAGGGCCATCAGAAAGCCACCTCTCGGACCACTTAAGAACCAATCAGAGAAACTCATCCCCGCTTCAGCCCCATGGGCTATCCTAGGGGAGCATCACCCCATGGGACACCCATAGCTGTGAGTCAAGGAAAGCGGTTCTCTGGTGCATGGTATCTTGAGGATGGCTAATGCCTCAGAGTGGAGTATAGGATACACTATGGGATGCAGAGAATAATATTTGGGGATAACACTAGACTTATCATGCGATGTTTAGGGGTGGAACCAAAGGTGGAGAAAGAGAGGGATCCAGGTGATTTGAGGAGAAAAAAGCAAGGAAGAAAAAAGGGAAAAAAAAAAGGAGATAAAAAGGGTTGCTCACATGTAAACAGGGCTAGTCAGTGTGCTTGTCCAGCCATGTCCTACATTTGAATAGGTCAACTTTGTTAAATCAGTCCCATCTTCTTAAACTCCTTTCTTTCTAACTGCTTTTTTTTTTTTTTTTCCTGAATAAGGGACTCTCTACTCTGTGTGCACGTGCATGACGAGATCAGAGCGCAAGTAGATGGAAGAAGACTGCAGGTCTAGGGTCCAGCTCTCAGGGTGCCAGAGAGGCTCTGTAGGGAATACACGATCACTCACAGTATCAAGCAGTACTAGCTGCCTAGTAGGTGAAGTGGTTGGTAGCCATGTGTGCATGTGTATGTCTAAGTGTACAAACATATGTGTGTATATTTATATATATTACCCACTAATGGACCTTCTTGACCCAGTTGTCGGTGGTGGTGATGCTGTCAGTTTTCACATGAGTGCTCAGTGTTTCTGACTGTCATGTTCTGTGTGGCTAGACATGTATCCGAATTCATGTGTTCGTCTGCTAGGAACACATGCCCAACAGCTCTATTGTTGGGCCTGAGGACATGGAACTGTGGTAGCCTTGTCTCTATTGGAGCACAAGATTCAGCAGTGGTGATGAAGGTCTGAGCCAGCCCTCTGGACCTGGACACAGACGTAGGTCTCCAAGTTAGGGGACATGGGAAAAGGTTCTGCAGAAGATCAGGAGTCCAATATGCCCATTACTTGACCTCACTGCAACGCCACTGGCTCTATCATGGACAATATTAGCTGGACTGTAACTAATAAGGCAAGAAAGGGGGGTTGTCCTCCAGTGGACACTGGTGATGCCAGAGCAGGTTACTAGGCCCGGTTTGAGGCTTCCCAGTACAAAGAGATTAGCAGAGGCCACTAAGATGTGTATGCCTGGAGACAGAATATTAAATAAGATGCCAAGAGTTGGTCCAGCTTGGAGAGGGCAGAGGAGGGTTAGCAGAGAGAAAGGGCTACAAGAGGTGCCCTGAAAAGAGAAAGGCCATTCAGCACTCTGCTGCAAAATCTCTTCTACCCCATAATGTCTCCAAGGGAGAAGAAAAGTGTTTAAAACAAAAGGAAGAAACATGAAGTGTGGAGAAGATCTATGAACAACTACATACATTAGACTGCTGAGGGCCCTGAGGAAGTCCAACAACTGTTTCTCCCATCTGTCCTAGATTACTGCTAGAGCATGTACCTAGCGCTTGGGCACGAGGGTCTTGCTCCTGCTGACGCCAGTCATGATCATGGCTGGGCACAGCTGGAGGTGGGCAGGCCACTGTAAGTGTTGCAGTCTACAGTAACATAGGGCCATGGGAGCAAGCCCCACTGATGCCTCTTGGAGGATAAGCAATGGAACTGGGCCATGAATCTAAACAGCTACATGGTACACTATGAAAAGTTTCAAAATACATTGGGAGGCCTGGATCATTCATATCAGAGCTCTGTTTCAGTCATTAACCATGTCCTGTTGACAGATGTTATGCACTTCCCTATCTGATGTGTACCTACGTACTGCAGTGGCAGTATGTGGACTCAACAGTGTATGCACAGATCAGTTCAACATGTACTTGCACAACTAGTTAGCCAAGAGTCTAATATGCATACTGGTGCTATGCTGTTACCCAGCAGTACTTCTGCTAACATACACACATCTGCATAGCTATGACTTGCACAGGCTCTACTCAAAATCACTATATCCTCATAACCTTCTGCAGTGTTCCACAACACTCTGGTGGTGAGGACCCAGCAGGGTAGGCTTCAGGTGGATTTAAATTGACTCCAGTGCCAGCACTCTCCTCTCCATGCACTATTGCTCTGTTCCATAACATGAAAGATGGGCTCTATTAGTCGATACGACCTGGGGTATGGGCAGCAGCTCTGCACACATCTCTGATCCTCTCAACACACTCAAAGGATGATCACTCCTATCCTGTCTCAGCCCAGGGCCAAGCTGCCACTTACTCTACTCAGCAGCACTCCCCTATCTCTCCTCTTCCCTGCTCACCTCACTCCCACGTCACCCAAAGGGATGTACAGCCCTTCCACAGCTTAATCAACCCTTTGTTATTGCCAAAGGCAAAAGATGGCAGACAACAAACAAGGGTCATTGAGATTTGGCCTTATCAGAAGATGAGGCCAGGTGGGAGGAAATAGTCCCTGAAGGGGCAAAAAGGAAAGGAAAGCCAAGTTAGTTCCCTGATGTTCTGTTTCATAAGGCCACAAACCTCCCCCACAACCATGAGGAAGGAGCAGCCTGGACACTTCCCCAAGGCTGGACTCAGCGTCTTCTCCCGCCCCCTTGCACAACTAAACCCAGTTCACAAGGGCCAAGAGGAAGCCATTTTGCCAGCAAATGAGTCATTGAAAGAGAAACCAAAAGCCCTGAATGCTTTCACTCCTCAGCTCCATAGGAGCCTAAGACCAGGTCATCGTGGATGCACAGTCCTGAGAGGGTGACTGATTCTTCTGGGACCAGTTCAGCCATCCAAGCCCTACACCGAGTCTGCAGAAACACGAGCTGTGGCACAGGAAGTGGTTTGTGACAACAAGGACTTGCCAGTACACAGCAAGAAGCGACGCAGCTACTTGAGAACAGACTCAGTGTTTCCCCATCAACCCTTCTTCCTGAGGAAGTCCTGCTTGAGACAGAGTCACAGGGAGCTAAGAAGGACCGCGATGGCGCCCACGACCCACATCCTAACCTTTGGTGAGTGCTAGTGGCTGTATGGGCTCCCAGAGGGGACACGAGGTGCCTTGGGCCCCCAACAGAGATGTTACAGGGCAGGTAATTTCTCTTGCAGGTGCTTGGCTAGTGGTGCAGATCATGACCACCACAAGTGAGTATAATGAGGAGGGAGATGGGGAGCCTGAACACATCTCAAAACCTCTGTCTGCCTTCTGAGGCCCTCCCCAGCCCCACTGCACCAAACTCACCCTCGTGTGTAGATGGGACCTAGAAGTGGCTCCATGCTCACAGCAAAGCAACTGGGCTCCAGAGCACTCCATGTTTGTCTAGTATCATCTCTCTCACTGCAGGTGACCCCAGAGTAATCATCTACTTGCAGCCACCTGGGGTGACCCCACTGGGAGGCTCTGCCGTCATCCACTGTGAGTACCAGTGCAATGGTGGGACCTTTGTGCTGTACAGGAGTGGGGAAAAAATAAGCGCTCTGAAGCCGTATGGCAAAAGGGCTGAGTTCCTCATCTCCAACGTCACCCGAAGTTTCTCAGGTCCCTACACCTGCCATTGTATGCATGGAGACAATGGGACTATGCTGGCACGCAGTGACACCTTAGAGGTCCTGGTGGAAGGTAAGCGATGTGCCATGGCCATTTGAACACCCTCCATGATGGTGGAAGCACTAGGCATTTTGGCTTCCCTATCTGCATGTCAGGAAGGCTTTTTCCTCTTGTCCCTTCCTTGGAGAGATGGAGACCATCTCTGACTCAGCCTTAGTGAGGTGGTGGCATCACAGATACCCCACAAGGCTCTCAGCACCACATCTCTCCCCACAGAGCTCCAGGGCCCCAAACCTGTCCTTTCCATCCTGCCTGGACATGAGGTGACTGCAGGGTCTGACGTGCTACTCCGTTGCACCTTCTGGAATGACAGTGCCATCTGCTTCCTGTACCTGGAGGGCCGGCCTGGGACACTCTATCAATTCTCCGATAAGGAGGCCACTTTCCAACTCTCCCAGGTGGAGCAGGGCAATGCGGGCCGTTACATCTGCCAATGCTACATCAAACAGACCCCACCGGCATGGTCTAGCCTCAGTGAATTCTTGGAACTGGTCGTGAGAGGTGAGACACTACCCCACCTCATCCTACCCTCTTTTTCTTTATTAGCCTCTGCTACATCCTGGGGGAAGCTAGAAAAGAGGAAGTGGGGGAAAGAAAACTGGTAAAAGGTCCCAAGCTGAGGTTTGCAACTTCTTACAGATGTGTTTTAGGCTTGCAAGCCCCTCACAGACCCTATGGGCATGGTGTGCCTGAGACACGAGTGGCAATGGAGATTAGGGAAAGGGCATGGGGTCAAGTGTGAAGGATAAAGGGATTTGCTGCTGTATGATGGGACACCATAGGAGCACTGATGTCTGCACCCATCACTCCCAGGAGCAGCTGTACCTTTTATCAGAACTCATCAGCACTGTCTGGCTGGTGGTGGCAGGTGAAGGCAAGTTCCATGTTCCTGGCATCCTCCGTGGGTTCAACATCAGGACACACCGGAGAGGGTGACACGTCAGAGATTGGGAAGTAGGGGGAGTGACAGTGGGACAGGGATTGGGGAAAGGGAGACAGAGGCAGTTAGAAGATCTCGGGGGTCCCCTTTGCTCCCTATGAACTTTCCTCTATCCCCATTTAGCCCAGGGGACCCCAGTGGTATCCCATTGGTCCCATGAGTCTGTTCACCCCAGGACCCTGTTTGTCCCTGGTTTGTCGCCTGAGGCCACCTGCCTGCAGCCCTCTTGAGCTCTCTTTGTTCTGGGAGCTCTCCAAGATCTCCCCTTCTTTGCTTGGCACCCTAATGACTGTCCCTTCCTATGCTCTGCAGATTACACCTGGGGCAACACCGTGCGCCTGGCTCTGGGGGCTGGGATCCTAGTGCTGCTGGGGCTCATTGTGGCTGAAGCCATGCACAGCAACAGACCCACGTCCAGTCACCTGGGCCCCCTCTAGAATGGAAAACTCATCTCCAAATCATCAGGAGAGAAAACGGTGCTGCCACGAGCAGGCAGACTGGAGGCAGACTGCAGGCTCCATGCACGAGGAACTCCACATCACTAATGTCACTGGAGCTGGGACTGGGAAAGCAGGTGCTGGTCTCCTCTCCCATCTCCTGACAGTGCAATAAACAGCTTTCCCCACCCACTGCTTCCAGCAGCTGCCTTTGTGGGACAGGCAAGCTTGGGGGTGGATATCTGGCCCTCTACAGCCCAATTCCAGGCCAGAGCAAGGAGCCCCTTGCCCAGGGCTGGGGAGGCTGGTGGCACCAAAGGAGAGAACGAGGCCCAACCCAGAGCAGCCACAGGTGCAGCAATGTGCAGCAGCCTCAGCCCTGCAGAGCCCGCGGCCTCCGCTGGGCCCGGCCTCCCGGCCTCCGCCCGCGTGGCCTCCGCCTGCGCTGCCTCCCACAGCGCACCTGGCACGCCCTTCCCAGGGCCCTCCCCCTTTCTCCTAGAGACGCTGTCGATTGGCCAGCGGCAGCCTGGGGGCGGAGCCAGGCGGATGGCAGCATGGTGGGTGGAGCCACATGGAAGCTCCGCCCCCAGCCGCCATTTCACTGGCGGAGGTGGGGGCCTCTCCTGCGCTGCTGATCTGTCCCCGGCCGAGGAAGCGGCGTGGAGCTCCGAGCAGTCCCATTACTCACGTTTATTTATTGTTATCTTGAAACACTGACAAAACACACCACGTACCGATCTCCCTCTATATAAATTTGGTTTGTACAAACATAAATTTATATATAGAAGATCTTCTAATCTTTGTATACTCATGACAAAGTTCTGGAAGAGCTGCATGGGGTACGACAAGGATACTTCCATTAAGAAAAAACAAAGAGAAGGTGCAAATATAAAAAAAAAAAAAGTGCAAAATGAATGAAAGTGCAAAAAAGCTTTGTAACCACAAACACACTCCTTCCAAAATGCAGCTCCCCTTTCCTCTCAGCAGGCTGCAGCAGCCCCAGGCACCGGCGGCAGCGCAAGGTCAGAGCGGGGCCGCAGCCCGTTGACCGTTCCCCTCTAGGAATCCTCTACCCCAGAGCTGAAGGAGGGCGGGAGAAGGGCAGAGAAGCTGCAAGGTCACCTCTCCATGCGACTGTCTCCTCTCGCACTCCCTGGATTGCACTCAAGTCCACAGATTTGCTTCAAAGGAGGTCATTTCATGTGAGCTATCAATCTTTCCAGAGATTATTTTCTTCTTAAATACTATTTGTAATTGATTAAAAGAAAAATTGCTCAGGCCTTCTGGAATGAGAGGCAGCCAAGCATGGTCTGGCTGGAGAAGGTCCAGTTCCTCACCTTCTTCAGGCCTGCCCTTTTCTTTGCAGGAACAGCAAATTCAGGTTCTTGTTAAAGGGACAAACAACTTCCTGGGAGGCTCAGACGTGCACCTGGGGCCACCCTCAGATACCTGAGATGGACTGGAGGGGGAGCAGCAGCACTGCAGCACCCACCACGGGATGGCAAATATCCCATGGCTACTGCTGAGCCAAGGCCACCCTTGGCAGCACAAACAGTACTGTGGGATCACAGGCTTTAGGGGCCTTGGAAATACATTTAAAATTCCTCTATGAACTGAAAAACTCAGGCTGTTGTCACCTATCTTGGAAAGAATCTTCAGCAGATGTGGTCAGGTTCAGCCCTAGCATCTGCTCCAGCTCCTTGGTGACGTGGCAGAAGAGGTATCCAGATGGACCTTGGCTGGACAACATGGGAAGAATGAAAAACTTCAGTGCTTCTGCCATGGCCGTGGCTGCTTTGACACTTCCTGGCCTGGAGCTCCTCATTGGACTTAGGGGGCTGGAGGACCAGCCACAGTGAGGGTGAAGCCGCTCTTCCCTTCTCCCTGCTTCCCTGCTGGGACCACAGGCAACCGCTGCTTCCTGACAGGCTGCCTGCTCCTCCAGCTGCCAATTGCTGCTACCCCAGCCACATATTTGCAACAGCTGGAAACTGTCATAATAGAACAGCATCAGACCACCAGGAGAGCAAATAGCATTGTTATTTTTCTATACTAGCACCCATAAACACCATAAACACCCATTCACACATACATACACTGCTTTGGGTTTGTATGTTTTACTTCTGTGTTTTTTTTTTCTTTTTAAGGAAAGAAAAGATTATAAGCTTTAACAGTAAATAGCCCTTGACCATCTACAAGCTCTGTAACTCTCTCATCTAGACCAAATTCAGAATCTTTGAACCCAAAGGCCTGGAAGGAGCCAGCCCAAGAGGCAGGTAGACTGATGTTCACGACAGCAGACAAGAGCGTGACAGAAATCCTCACATCTCAGTTCACACTTCCCATGAGCTTGTTTTTTTCTAGCAAGCTGTCCCCTGTGCAGAGTTTGGATCCAGCAATATCCCCGCCAGTGACTCTGGATCCAGCTGTGCAGCCGAGGGGACATTCATGGCAGGCTCAGTCCGTCTGCACCTGCTTTTACAGGGAGATTACAAGAGCTTAGGAAGGTAGTATCCAATGGGACTTTCTGGTGTCCAAGGCCAGCACAGGCTACAGCACCCACCTCTGCCCACCTTGTCAGGCACAGAGTACAGCTTGGTCACCACAACAGCAGAGCAAGAGCTGTCAGTGTGGGCGGTGTGGTCCTGTGGACCAGTCACACAGCTCCTTTTCCCCTTCAACAGGTATCCTGGGAGTTCCTCACCATCTCTGCTCCCTTGGGCAGTCCTGGGAAAGACAAGACTCTCCATCCTTCATGCTGTTTTTAGATCTGATACTCTGGTAGCAATTTCTTCCTGCACACCCAAGGCCAACGCTTAGTCCTTTCCCAAAAAGGAGGAATGGCTTAGCATGAGGGAGTGGAGCAGATAAGAATGGGATTCCGATTTCCTTATACTCCCAGACCAGGACTGGTGCAAGGGTACCAAGAGTAAAGTAGGAGATGTGTTATTCCAGATCACAACTGGAGGTGTTTTAGAGCATGGTTTACATGGAGATTCTCACAGCTGAAGGCTCCAAAGCTCCTCTTCCTCTTCAATGCAGGGTAGCCCAGGAAGAGATTTTCCAATAGCTGACGAGACCAAGTTTGACACCATTTACTGTGGATTGAGGGTGACTCTGGGAACAATGGTGGGATTCAAGAACATGCACGTTCTTTCCCATTCACCTTCTCTCCTCAGCTTAGCCACATTACAATGCTTGAAGAGATGAAAGAGAATGAAAAGGGAAAGGGAGAACTGACTAAATCAAACTCAAGCACTGACAAAATAAATACATAGACTAGTTACAAATTTTGCATGAATGGCAAACAGCAGATATTTCAAAAGCAGGTCAAACAGGACCCCAAATATTCAGTAAGAAAGAGTCAAAATGCTACATTTCCACAGGAAGCCTAGGACAAATCGACTCAAATGTGACAGTGGCTTCCAAGGCAGTGTTGCTCCAAGACATGTTGCTGGTGCACATGCTAAGATCTCTCACCTCTCTCTTTGGGCACTGGGAAAGGAGAAAAGATTTGTTGCATTACGGAAAGGAGAAAAGATTTGTTGCATTACTGCTTTATCACTCACGGGAATGGAAAGAAACATCCAGACCCAGACCACACCATTTCAGACTGTGGAAAACTCCCAGGGACCCAGGAACCCTCCTCCAGTCATACGGAGCCCAGCCTGTGCTGACCTCCTTCTGGTGTGACAGAGCAGAACCACAAGCACCATAGTAACACTTCTGGTCCCTTCAGCTGGGATCCTTGCTTTGGTAGTCACCCACAGAAAACACACCGGGAGGGATAAAAGACCCCAAAAACATTGCTTAGGCAGCGTAAGTCCTCCCTGTCTTGGCAGCTGGTGACATGAGCACTATCCAAAGCTGCCTAGGATTCTGTCTGTGTCCCCAGTCACGTCAGCTTTCTCCACTAAAATATCCTAGTCTACTTGGTCTTCCCTCCATTATGGTGGACCATGTTACACAAACATTTCCAAAGTGCACTCACCCTATTTTTAAAAAAGTGCTGTGTTGCTAGAAGGACAGACAAAAACTGTCCACTGCTGAATATTCTAGCTCTGCAGGGAAGGAAACCAGGGGACAAATGCAAATTCTGTGTTTCCAGTAACAAAATACAAGGGCTCAGGAGGGCAAAATGAGGGCCATAAGGTGACTTGGCATGATGGAGTCAACTAAATTAGGAATTCCTTAGGAACCAAACTCCAGATTTGCCTATAGAGAAATAAAGTTTTTTCCCCCGCCCTTTTCAGCTGCCTCAACACTATAAAGGGCCTTTCTCTGCCTCTCCTTTGTAGAGGATTTTAATTGCTGTAAAGAATACCAGTTAATCAAATAGCCTTTTTCCCAGAGATGTGTTGGCACAGCCAGCATTGTTCAGTGTAAGCATTGTTCTGTATCCCTACAGCCCTGGCCACATGGGGCTCCAAGGCTGCTGTCTTAACGCTAAGGAGCAGTAAAACACTGGTGCTGGTCATGGGCAGAGCCACAGCCAGTGCACACTGCTCCAACAAAGGGGCATGAGATTGGCCACTGATGTCCAGTGCAATGAAGAGGCAAAGCAAGGTTATCATCTGGCTTTAAAAGACGGAGTCACAGAAGCCAAGAGAGAAAAATTAAAGCGAGCAGAAGCTCCTTGGAAGTGTTCCTCATATGTTGTTCACATTAACCTCCTCCCAGAGGAACACATTGCAGGGAAAAATATCTCTCAGTTTCCGAACAGAGAAAAGACAAGCCTCAAAATAGGTGTGAGTATGAATGTGGGTAGTCAATTCTTTCCCTTTCTTGGTCACTTGAGCAGTGAGTGGTGTCAGCCCTTGGTTCCCTTCATCCTCTGTGACACTCCACTGTCCATGAACACAACCCTGAGCTAGTGCAGTCACCACACTTGGAGCAAATCAAGGGTGGCTTTCATGCTAAGGCAGGCAAGTCCCGCATCCACCCTCTGCCTCATGAGCCTCTACCAACACTGGAGGAGAGGAATAGCATGGAGAGAGAGAGAAAGAGGGGGAGGAAGAGGGTCAGGGGGATAGACTGGTGTGAGAATAGACATGAGGCATCCAAGAGAGCATGGGCAGGACATGACAAGCTGTGGGTTGTTGTGGGAGGCCTCTGTCCTGGCCAGACAGTTTGGCAGCACCACTGCTGAGAGAAGGTCTCAGTTGGGCCAAGAAAAGTCACTTTAAGGTGTCGTCAGCATTTTTGAACATGAGGATGGCATTGTAGATCTTGAGTGCTGGACCCAGCTTGACGCTCATAATTTTGACAATATCAGCCTGTGTCAGCAAGAGGAAAGCCTCGCCGTCGATCATCTGGAGAGGAGAGCAGGGACAAGGGCATTCATCAGAAAGCCAGGCTGATATTTCTCAGGGACAACCATGGGTTCTCCCTGGAGACGCACACATTGTCACTCACCTTCACATCTGCTGCCAGGAGTGGATAGCTCAAGCTGTTCCTTTCCAAGACATTTGGAGTGTTGTACCACTGCTTCTTCCCCGATCCAGGCCACCCCCATTCATACAGAGTAGGGAACAAGCCATGCGCATTGTTCTCACCATGTCCCAACCCACTGTGTCATGTAAACCAAAACTGGTAAATTTGTACAACCAAGAACAGGCACAATGACTCTTTCACGGGTGGCCACAAAGCTTGCTCTGCAGCTAGCCAACTGACCTACAGTCACAGACTGTAAGAGCTGGACCACAAGAAGATCAGATCACAAGAGGCACAGGACACAGCCAGCAGGTATTTTTCTCTGAACAACAATCTATTCCTGGCTCTAGTCCCCTGCCTTCATGAAGGCTGCCCCAGCTTGGCTCTAATTGCCTGAGCACCACTAAAGCACAGACTCAACAGGCTAGGACACATACTGCACCCAGAATGCCCAGGATCAGCTTGCCCCAGACACACTGTGTATGTTGGAGAACAGCTCCTCCATGGTTTTGTCTGCGGAGGAGTCTAAAAACTATGAGCAGGGTTGATGGACAGGAATAATGCTGGACTGATGCTCCAGTGAGATGACACAGGGATGGAGAGGAGGAAGAGGTGAGACAAAAGTAGGGCAAGATTGATGTCAGGTACCAACACCCTTGACATTCAAGGGATGTGCTATGGGTCAAAGGCTACTGGCTGATCCCTCCCTCCTGCTTTGCTGTCCTGGGCCACTGGTGCCTGTCCTCTGGCCAATCTCACCTCATCCTTGAAGAGTTTGGCTTGGTCCTCACAACCTGTCAGAGTCTGGACGAAGCTGAAGACCTTGGAAGAGAGAGGAAGAGCAGTGTTAAGGCTTCCCTAAAGTAACTTCCCTGAGTGGAAACACCCTGAGCCCAGTGGTATTTTGCCTTAAACAGTGGTATAGGGTAACACACGATATCCTTTTTAGACTGCAGTTGCAGTGCCCACCTATGACTAGGGGAGACCACTCTCAGATCACGGAAAGGCTGCAGATCCCTCCAACTCTACAGCAGCAAATGCCACAGCAGCTTCATCTCCAGCAAGCAGTATTCAGCATGATGAGATGATTCCAGCTGAGGGTCCAGGTCAGTAGAAAGACACACCAAAGGGTAATGGAGGTATCAGGCAAGCCTGGCAGCCAGGGCTGACACTCTGGCTCCAGCAGTCCAACTACCCTGGCCTCAAAAGGAGCTATTGTGGATGCCAGAGAAAGTGAATGAGAGATGATAAGGGAGAATCCTGCTGAGTCAATGGTCATTTTTTTTTTTCAATTAAAAAAGCTTAAACTGGTTTGTTTGGAAATTGTAAGATGCTAAATGAAGAAACTGCTGATTGCCTTCATTTCCCTGCCCTGAGCTAATGCCACATTCAAGCAAAGCTCTGGCAGTTCATCCTGCATGTGTCCTTCCCAGAAGCTGCCACCAGGGCAAGAGCCACTTCTCCTGCTAAACACAAGTGCATCAAACTGACCATCTCCTTAACAGTCCACAGAACTGGCTCTCAAGGCTCTTCAGCACCTGGCACACATGCCGACAGCACTGCACAGCCACAAGTGGGTTAGAAGTCAGCAAGCTCTCTCCAAAATTGTCTTACCTCATCAATGGTCCACTTGGCCACTGTGGTTGCTGTGATGCCAGCCACTCCTGGCAGGAGCTTGCAATGCTGCTCCCAGCAGAGGGACAGGGAGCGGTCAGGGTGGGCAGACAGAGCAGACATAAAAAGCGACTGGTGCATATTGTCTGAGGAAATAGCTGGCAATAAAAAGACAAGACAGTACAGAAAGTAGAGAAACATGCACATCTTATCCCATTCTACAAGTCCTGTCAGCCGAGGACCTGGGATCAGATGATCTCATAGATCCCGACTGTAAAGAACCAGGTTATCCCTTGCATTAACAGGTTACTAGTGCATCAAAGAGTCCAAGCAGATGGTATTGACAACGGTGGAGAAGAATTTTTGAGCCAACAGGCTTAGCTCTTCCTTGTTCTTACCACTTCCTATCATTCATTTTCTAAACTAAACTAAACTAAAGACTAACATCAATTTTCAGATTAGAATGCAATCCTTAATCGTTTAGTTCATTTTAGATTTTAACAAAGCTTTTATCTTATTCTCTGCTCCAAGGAGTTAGGATTATCTCCCAAAAAGTGATCCTTTTCATTTGTTCCTAGTGCTGGGACAGGCACCAGACCAAACTAATAGTAGAATTGGTAACTCAAAATGTGTTTGCCTCTTGCAGACATTCTATGTTTTATTTCAGTCATAAGAACTAAATGCAAAGCAAACTATTCAGCATTAACTTTCTGTACTGTGGCAATAACATGGCATTTCACAATTCCGCTGATGTTTCAGGGCTAACATGGCACCCATAGGATGAAGACATGACATCCTTGTCTGCAGTGGACAGAGGGCTTTGGAAAATTCACTGCCATGGAAAGAGGATGATAATCCCTGCCCTAATGCAATCAAAGGAAGCATGAATATAAGTCAAGAGACATAATGAGGGAACAAGTACAGCTTTGATAAAAGTCAGGAACATTTCCTATCACAGAACTTTGACAATCAAGCCATGAGCTGTGCACAGACCTCCAGGAGGTGCTAACCTGCACTAGGTCTGACCATAGAGACCAAGAGGAGATGTTTCCCTCCCATCCACCTTGCCAAGTCTTCACTCCATGCCTCTGACTTGCAGTGACACATGGAAGTGACACAAGAAGACACAGTTTACTCCACTTACTCTGGAAGTCTTCCTGCTGGATCTTTCGGTACTTTGGAGGTCGCCCTCTAAAGAGACAAGAAGATGGGTTTCAAATTCAGCTGGGACTAGTCTGAGGACTCTTCTCTGCATAGCACAGAGCTGTCCCTTTGCACTGGGAGGAAGGATTACCTTTTACTGGGAGGAAGGGTTAGGAAGACCCTAACTCAAATGGTTAAGAGCCAAGCTCACACAAAATGGAAAGAAAAAGCAGGAGTGATGCCCAAGATGACCCAATAGAGCTTGAAGGACAAACAACGGCTGCCAGCAAGCACGCATCCCCAGGGGTAAGGTTGGATGTCTCTTCCAAAGTCACCCAGCATAGTGTAGGTGCAGCTCTGCCTGAACTGGCCTCACCAGACTTGCCCCTACCTCCCATGGTGCCGAGATTTCTTTCGCTGAGAGAAGCTTATCAGGTTCCTCTTTCGAGCTGAGGGTTCAGTGTCAGATAAGTCTGCTTTGAGCCTGCTCTGGTTCTTCTCTGCCAGTGGACATCCTGAGAGGCAGTAATGGGCTGTGAATCTCCCGGTCACGTGTCCTGACCCGTCACAACCCGGTGTAGGGCACTTCCTAGAGAACAGAGGGGTAGACAAGTGTTGGATCCAGCATGGGGCAGCACAAAACCACCAGCCAGGCCCAGTGCATTTGGCAGCAGGGCTACTCCTCCACTTCAAACCACAGGAAGGCACAGCTCTGGCCACACAAAGCAATGTCACTGACTTGCTGAAAAAATGCCGAGTCCAGGGCATTGCGTTTATGAGTTCACAGGCAGGACAAGTGAGCTCCTCTAGGTACAAATCCTAGTCCCACCTTCTCCACAGCTGTAACTGCTGGCCTGTAAAAGTCTCCACAGTCCTGATTAACAAAGTCAGAAGGTTTTACAGAGTCTCCATAATCTTTTCCTTCCCTCCACAGACATCTAAACTGTTCACAGGCCCCAAAAGGAAGAGAGTAAGGAAGAAGCAGGTTTCATGAGCCTAGCCAGGAGAGAAACCTCTGGGAGCCTGGTCCTCCAGCCATGCTCTCAAGTACTCTCCACCTGACATGCTTCTCTGCCCTGATGCTAGCTTGCTGTATTGGGATCAGTATGACATCATTCCTGACTTCCCCAGAAAAAGTTCACACACTCAACCTAGGGGAGTTCTAGTGTCCTGTCTTGGCACCCTCCAGCTCAAAAACTCACGAGGAAAAAGCATCCATAAGGGACTGGAAGAATATAATCCTGGAAGCTGGTATCAATGAGCAGTGTCAGAAAGGTACCTAAGGCTGTCCTCTATATAGCCCATATGTCCCACAGGCAAATAGGTGTCTAGGTTGCCCTTGGGGATTTCTGAGTTACACAGAGCAAATACAGAGCATGCAGCACCACCTCATAAGGAATTACACTAGGAATGAAACCTCCATGCTTTAAGCAGCCCTGGCACAAGTAGTGCCAGGGCTGCCCCTGGGCTAGAGGGAGGGATATAACTGAGGTGGTGGGCAGAATGGGGCAAAGACGGGTGCCAAGAAGTTGTGTGGGTGGTAAAGGAGAGGAGAAAGGCCCCAGTGCTGAGCCCACAGCAACCCCTTGCCCCTCCAAACCACGCTGGGCAAGCTCACCTGTGGTGAAAGTTGTACTTGGAGCCTTTAGTGTGAGGGATGCTCTTGCAGCCCAGAGTAGGGCAGCCACCATGGGTAGAGGAGGCTGGCTCCTTTGGCCCTGTACAAGAAGAAGAAACAGGAGAGAAACAGTCATAACCAGGACCATAGGTGGAGCCAGATACCTGTGTTCCTTGTGTGCTCCAAACTGCAGGGACTTTTCCACCTGCCAGCTCTATGAGAAAGGCCTCTACTCCCTGATCATCCTCGGCCAGTGCACATTTCTGTCCATGACCAGGGGTCAGTGACAGTAGGGATGTGGCACTCTTGGCACCGGTGTGAGGTGCTGTCTCAGACCAATGACTTACTGAGAGGAGGCTGCAGTGGGTGCCCAGTTTTTGAGCACCAGCCTATGGGATGGATGTCTGGATGATCTGCATCGATCCAGAAATCATAGACGTGACTCCAGCCATCAAAATGGATCTGAGGAAACAAGTGAAAAGGTAATTTTTTAACCGCTGCAACCCTTCAAGCTGATGGCAAACAGCAGGGTAGACCTGAACTGCAACAGAAGGTTCTGCTCCACTCTTGGAGCCAGGCAATGAGATTTGCCATCCTTCCTACTTAATGCTTCCACAGAGTTCCACATACTTTGCCATTGCAACTGGCACAGCAAAATAGGAAGATTGGGAGAAGTCAGGACAGTCTCTGCATGCAAGTTCAGCACCGAGATTCCTGGACCCACCTTTATTCTGTGATCCTCCACATCCTCCACACTGGCCACTCGGATGAAGGAAGGTGTCCTTCTGTCCACTGCTTCCAGCTTCATGTTGACCAGAAAGCCATGGGGTGGGCGCTGAGGGTGAGCAGCACACCAGGTTATTGAGGATCAGGAATGTGCTCTGGGCTCCCGCACTCCTTCCTCATTTTTCCACCAACATGTGCTCCAAAGTCTAGCTCCCACTTCCGGCTCATTGAGGTTGGAGTCCTCCCAAGTTCGGAATTATAAGCAGGAGAGAGTAGGGATGGATTTCTGAACTGTGTTGACATAAGATATCTCTGCCAATGAGAAAAGGCCTCACAGAGACCCATTTTGAGGAATTACATTGTGCCTGCAATTGGCTGGAGAGAGCGGCCATTACTGGAATTGGAGATGAACCATCAAGTAAGCTGAAATTATTTTCCACCATGTGCCTCCTATTTAGCTAAGGAAGTGGCCATATTTTTCATTTTTCCTAGTTTGCATCTTTTTGTCCAATATAGCCTTGATTTATGCACCTTGAGTGTAGATTTGAACCCTAGGCTGTAGCAGGAGCCCACCACACATCACCTTTCACAAGAGCATGGATTTGACAGCGGAGAAAACCTGAAGGCCTGCCAAGGCACAGCAGAGTTGAGGATGGGGCACTTACCACTTTAAAAGCCCAAGCTGGAACAGCAGATGCTCCAGTTTCCTTTAGGTACTTTTCCCAAGTGAAGTTGTCAGGATCAGGATAATCTAGAAGGGTGAGACACACAGGTTTGCAGAGGACAGCAATATCCCACAATGTCCTACTGTCCTGCAGGACCAATCACGCCTCCACGAGGCACACAGGAACCTGAGACATCAAAATGAGCTGCTTTTTCTTATGGACCATGATATACAGAGCGCAGGGGAAGAAAAAACCTCTGGGCCAGCACTTAGGCCTCCTGATCTGCCCACTTGGCCTGAAAAAAAGCAGTGCTGCACTTGAACACAAGACCCTTGACCAGTGCATGCAGACTATTTGGCTGTGACCTTGCTCATGGAAACCTCCCAGGCCTGCAGGCGAGCAGAGGCTGTGGGATTTAAGCCTCTGGGCACCCTTGTTTCTCCAGGGGAAGCCTGTCGCCCAGAGGATGCACTAGTGCAGGCTGTGCTCCCTGGCCACCTACTCACCTTGAGGAGGTGTGAGAGGTTTGCCATGTTCCTGACACCATCCGACTGGGTGAATATACGGACTACTGGGATCACACCTGCAAAACATGTATGTTCACTTATGTGGCAGAGATAGCCAGCTCATCACTGCTGGACAGTGCAGACTGTCAGGACCCAGGATGGACTGCCTGGAAGCACAGCCCAGGTCTATGTCACCTGCAAATGCTTTGCAAAAGCTTCTGTCTTTTATAGCACCCTCATTCATGAATAATCCAGGAGACCGTGGAGTCAAAGGCTAGAGGAGGGAGGCTCCAGCTCATAGCAGTAGGGCATGATCTCTGACAATCCGTAGCCAGCAGGACCAGGGAAGGGAGCATGCCTCTGTACTTGGTGCTGGTGAGGATGCACCTTGAATATCATGTTCAGTTTTGGGACCCTTGCTACAAGAAAGACATGGAGGCGCTGGAGTGCATTCAAAGAAGGGTGATGAAGCTGGTGAAAGGGCTGGATGATTCTATGATTCTATGAATATGCTCTGGGTGCAAGCTCCACAGTGGAGCTACCCATTGAAAAGTAAAGCTGCCGTGGGAAGGAAGACATGCTGCACATTTCTTGGAGCTCAGAGCGGGTAGAGCTGAGCAGCTGGGGAGCTCAAGGAGCTGTGGACTCCAAACAGATGTGGCTGTGGACCCCAGATTTGGCTGTGGACCCCAAACAGATGATGGTTACTCAGATGCTCCTGCTTCTTGGGTCTGCTCTGGGGCACAGCACACAGAAGCCATTTCTTGTGACCAGCATTACCTAGCAAGGAGCAAGCAGCAGGGGCAGACGTTTCAAATGACGGAGGCAGCAACGTCTACAGAAACAGCTCTTCAGGCAAGGAACTGAGGCAGACAGAAAGAGAGAGGTCTGCAGGTTCTGGCTATGAAGCGGATGGATGCAGACTTGATTTCAAGGCCTTGATCACACTAATTTGCCTTAACCAGCCTTGGCCAACCCTATCTGTGACCTCCCCTCCCACACAGACACATACTCTCTATCCCTGGCCTCACAAGCTCCTTTTAAGGTTAGACCTTCAGTCTTTGCCTTGGTGACATTGTAGGTGGCCCTGCCTGACACTGAAGTGAGTTTCAGGCCCAAGTCAAGGCTTATAATCAAGACTACTTTAATCGCATGTTAATGGGAGAGACATGCCTGCATCACAGAAAGTAACAAAGTGACATGGAACTGGAAAAGTTATTTCCTCCAGCACAGGCAGGCAACCCTCTGACCTATCAGACCACTGCTAGCCTGCCTCAAGGACATTTTGGGAACATTCCAAAGCATCCATCACTTTTGCTAAAACAGCAGCAGTGCTCCTTGTTCGTGGTGTCCAGGAGCCATTCTGTGCTTACCAGTAATCGTAAGTATCATCCCAGTTATCAAAGTGCACCAAAAAGCGATTGTCCACCACGTCTGTCACTGTGGCAACACAGATCAGGGAAGGGTTCATGCGGTCCACAGCTTCAAGCTTCATGCCCACCTCAAAGCCTGGTGGAGCCTCGTGCTGCAAGGAGAGGTAGGTTTTGTTCGTTTCCATGGTGCCACATCTCACCACTTCTTTGAACTGTTGCACACCCCTAAACCATCCCAAATAGGACTCAACCCTGCCTCTTAGCCATGGTCTGTGACCCCTTAGGGGCTTCAGAAAGCAGCACCCTGCTATGCACACGAGAAAACAGGCACAGGTAAATAACTTGACTGGACTACACAAAGAAAGTAGAAAAAAAGTGTCTTCAGGTCCTCAGGATCTTATATAAGCAGTAAGCTCCAAGACAGCAGCAGTCTCTACCTTATATTGGTTCAGGTTCTATGACAAAATACTTCTTTGTAGTCATGCTCCTCCACTGTGTGCAGCGACTAAATCCTCTAGGAGGATTTAGGACATGGCCCTCTACCCTACCTGCCTTAACTGCTTGGATACAAAATCCGTGCAAAACATCACACACAGCGGTAGGATCATTGCAGCTGTCATGCATTGCCACCTTGGCAAGGAAGCAGCTTCTCGAGGATGATTTAGACATAGAAATACAACTCTGAGGGACTGATTTATCAGTAGTTTGAGCTTCCTCTGCAATCAGCAAAGAAATTATCAGTGTTTAGCATTTCATAGTATTCTCCTCTTCCTTATTCAAGTTGTGTATGAAAATTAAAGTTCAAGAGAAAACAAAATTATATTGGTGCAATATTTAAATTAAAAAAAAAAAGGAAAAAAGGCTATTTTTCCCCAGTAGTAGGTCTAGGAGAGCTGTAACTGTGCGTGAGATGGATCCACCTCAGTTTTGAACAGACCAGGTTAGTGTCCAAGTTGCAGATCCTCAGCAGTAAACCATAACATGTCTCATTAAGCAACTTGAGCAGTGCATTCATTTGGCCCTTTGCACTGTGAGGATTCTGAGGTGTGGGGTGGATGTTGAATAGCTTCAATCTGGGGGAGTGATTGGGCTGGGATGAATGGGAGGAAATTACGCTTGAACCTGTAGGACCTGACAGGAAGAAGAATCTGCTACTCACACTATTTCGGATCACAAAGAGGTGCTTTGGAGCTGCCTGAGCCTTTGTTATCTTCAGATAGTTTGTCCAGCTGAATTCTTCCTCCTTATAACCTACAACCCCTCAGGAAGGGAAAGGAAAGCAGCCAGTTCACAGACAGCAGACAGCACAGTCGGCAGAGGTCACACGCCTGAGCCCAGCCGCCCCAGTCTAACTGGCCCTCACCCTGCCCAGGTGGCCTCTCTGGGGACAAATGGGCCCTAGGGCACCCTAGGAAATCCCACTGTCTAGCCACATCCAGTACAGGCCAGTGGCTTGTTTCAGAGGGATGCTGAGAAACATTAGCACTGGAATGCAAATTCAGCTCTAGGATCCTCCTTGGAAAGTTTTGGTCCCAGATGTCCAGTGGTGCACACAGTGTGCTGACCAGGGTTTTGTGGCCGCTAGGCTCCAGCAGCACAGTATCATCAACAGCAACAGGGTTTTGCCCCCGAAAATGGGAGGAGGCCAAGCTGTAGTGGTGACAGGTACCTGCAGGGCTGTCAGGCAACAGCCCCAACACAGTAGTAGTCCCTGTTGCTCACCTGGCCCTTAGTTCCCGCTAGCAGTTTGTGTGTCTGCTCCTCATTCTCCCTGTTCAACAGGGCCTACAGACCCAGACTCTCCAACTCCTTACCTTTTGGGGGCTGGAGTTTGTGCCCTGTCTCCTCAAACCAGCCAGCAGGGTGGATGTTGGGGGAGTCAGCATTCAGCCAGAAATCATGGCATTCAGAGTAGCCATCAAAGTGGAGGCGCATGCGGTAACCACACACCTATGACCGGGACGGGCAGGAGAAAGGATGGACTATGAAAATCTCTGGCTGCCCTGGCAGTGCATTGCATACACATCCTTTCCCACATACAGTCTAAGTATATCACTTAGGGAAAGAAAAGGTCATATTAATAAATATGTCAGCTTCCCTGATGTGGGAAGCACATGCCAATCCCAGGAGGTGTTTGGCATGAAGCAAGATTAAGTGCTGAGTCATCATAAACCCAGCCACATACGCTGGCATAATAGGAAGTGGAAACAGAACATGACACAATGGGCACAAACTGAAATGCAGGAAGCTCCATCTGAATCTAAGGAAATTTTGTTTGACTGTGAGGGTGACTGCGCACTAGAACAGGTTGCCCTGAGAGGCTGTAGAATCACCATTCTCAGACATGCAAAAGCTGTCTGACATGGTCTTGGGCAACCTGCTCCAAGCGATCACGTCCATGTGTGAGCAGCGAGTTTGGACTAGATGATCTCCAGAGTTGCCTTCCAACCTCAGCTGTTGCATGATTTTATTAAATGGTCAGGTGTTTTGTCAGATCTGGCAAGGCCAAAGATTCCTTTTTCTGCATCTGTAGGAGATTCCAGCACAGGGTTTTGGCTGAATGCCATGCTGTCTGGGTGAAATCTCTCCAGCAGCCACTGCTGTATGGACATTTTTCCTAGTTCCTTTGGGCCCTAAGAGCACTGCAAGGCAAGGTTGGTTTTGGGGTATGACATATGGCTGAGCTGAGAGCCCCAGAAACACTGCCTCCACAGAGAGAAGAAAAGGGATACCTCCAGACTGTCTATCTTCAGGGGTCAAACCTGTCTTAGAGGCATGATCTCAGGCAAGAAACAGTTGCCACTGCTATAGTCTTTTCACCCCACGGTGAAGCCATGATGTCATCTTGACATGCAGTGTCAGTGTGGTGGAGAGACTAACTACACTTAAACATGGCATCTGCTCCACAGCATTATCCCCCCTGTCCTCTACGAACTAGTAGGAAACCTCCTTGACACTGGCAGCGATGTGCAAGTGAGGGCCGAAAGTCCTGCACCAGCCTCCTTGCACTGCCTCCTCTCCTGCCAAGCCTTCTGCTGCCTGGGGAGGAGGAGAGGACAAAAAAACAGCTGGAGATGCACCCGCAAAGCTGGAAGTGCCTTACCTCAGCCACAGTAAGGATAAAGTACATAGATGGGTGCTGTGGGTCGATTCCTTCCAGCTTCATCCCCACTTTAAAGCCATTCTTGTGCTGGGAAGCTACTTGGTACTAGAAACAAAAATTAAACTAAAATGTAAAAACCAACACAGATAAAAGGGTCTAGAACAATCCCATGAAGCAACCGTCAGGTAATGGGAGCTTCTGAGCCCTGGAGATGCTGGGCAACAGGTTATGATGTCAGCCAAATTTAATCCTTTCTCTGTGGAAAGATATGTTCTTCTATCTACCTGCAGGTTTGCTTCTCTCATTGTTGGCAGGGCAAAGTTGTCCCTGGGTCACTAGCCCGTGTGGCAGCTGCACAGCTCTGGGGCTGCAGGAGAGTGGGGGCACGGGAGTCTGGGCCCCTGTCGTGCCCTGCTGAGCATCCAGCCAGAAGCAGAGGTCAACACAGCACACAGCTTTCCAGAACACTCACATATTGGCTCAGGGAAGGCCTGGAAGGGCTCCACCATCCTTCCAGAGCCATCAGGGTGCCCTAGGCATACATAAGGTGCAGGGCTGAGGGACAGGTCCCCACCAGGGAGCAGGAGTGGGGATAAATGACAACTGGAAAGCAGTGAGACTAACTGGTCACTTCTGAATGAAGAAAGGAGCTTGCTTATTGCACAGAGCCCCACAAAACAGGGAAGCAAGGAAGAGAGGAAAAAGAGGAGGGGTGGGAAAAAAAGGGAAAGAAGAGAGAAGATGAAAGAGGGGAAAAAGACAGGAAAATCCCAACTCACATCCTGGAAGAGATCTAAAGGGGCAGCGACAGCTTTCTGCTCCTCCAGGTAGGACGCCCAAGACCAGCCTTCTTTCTTCTCCTCGCTGGCACCTGAGCGCAGCACAAATGCACACACAAGAGGTGCTGCTGAGGGTCAGCTCCAGCCCCAGTCCATGCTTGCCTCAGGGCAGTGCAGAAGGCAAGTGAGGCCTTGGGTCCCATTGGGGCCACATCCTGCTCTCACACACAGTCCAGCATCCCTATGAAACTCAGCACCACCCTACCAGAGCCCCTTCACCAGCAAACCTGTCTGGTTGGTTGATGAGGGACAGAGCTGAAAGGCCCCATTTCACATACGTCCCCATGACCTCAAATGTCCTCTATCACTATACAGGTGCTCTGGCAAGGTGTCTGAGAGGCTTCTGGCAAATAAAACATCCTATGCAAAGCCCATAGTTTGTAGGGAGACCTATGCAACCACTTCTGCTCTAGCTGGTACAATCAAAATGGTCATTGCATCAAAAAGGAGGCTGCTCCCAGCTGCAGAGGGACTCCTGGCCAGTTGGGCTTGTAGCAGGCTAATCTCCCACCACTGCTGAGACAGAACTGCTCTGGAGGCATCAGCTCCTCTACTTGGAGGTAAGCCCCCCTCAGCAGGCTAGGGCCAGCTCCCAAACTCGCGGTCATGATCACGAGCAGGATGATCCGCCTGAGAGTGTCCAAAGTGGGGTGAAGACAGATGCAATAGAGTCACGCTGCAACTCATAATAGCACCTCTCAGAGCAAAATGGGATCATCACAAAGAGCATACTCAAAAACAAGTGAAAAAATCAGCTCTCAATGGGAAGGGGCCAAAAGCACTGAACAGCACACCCATACTTCCTGTACACTTGTAAGGGTACACCCACGGAGAGAAAGAGAGGAAGGAGAGAAAGGGAAAGAGAAAGGGAGAGCAGGACCAAGCAACAGAGAAGCTTACAAGCCTTCAGGAACAGGTAACAGCTCTGTCAAGCTCTGCCTTGTTTGTGAGTCAAGGTCTGTGCCCTTGACTCACATCTAGAGCACCGTAACACTAGTCCTGGCCCTCAGTGCCGCAGAGGGACCCTGCAGCCTCAGTTGCGTGGCTCCACTTACTTCTGCACCTGTAAGAAGGGGTCACGATGGCAGAGCACTCACCCTCCCAGCTCCCCAGGCCCTCCATACCGTGCTGGCTCCCGTTCCATGCTTCAGTGTCTGGATTGCTGATGGCTGAGTCTCCTGCGGAGTTTTTCCTCTCTTCCTGCTTTTCCTCCTAAGCATGAAAGCGGACAAAATAGCAGCCCATCATGTTGGAAATCACAGATTCTCATACAGAGGTTTAAACTGCATACTGTACACTCTTGTCAGTGCCATGAGGGGCCTCCACAATATTCATGATTTGGATGATGCCTAGGCCAGAAATGAGGGTCCAAGAAGATCTGGTGATGGGAATCTGAAGGAGAATTTGGTGCTGAGTGGTAGGAACCAGAGCAATCACACCTGGTGTGAATCTACTTGAGGTAAGACTATCAAGCACAGAGCTTCTTTAGCTTGTCAAAGTCCCTCTCTCTTCCCCATTCATTACACAGTCAAAAGATGCTCTCTTACTTCAACACTACATTTGGCGGCCCAAATTCAAGAGACCAGTTGAGAGAGGTCAATACTTATAACCTAAGCAGAGTGTGCCCAGTGCTGTATCATCCAGCACATTCAGCACATTGAACAGCAGGCAAAGTCCCTAGAAGCCATGACAATCCATGCATTCAAGTCTTTTTGGTATTAACAGTTCTGGTTACCACTTGGACACATAGCTGATATGGTATTAAGAAGCACCAATGAGAACTGTACACACTTGCATCAGATACTTGTGCGGTCACTGGCCTACCTCCATACTATCATGTAGACATGCATACACACATGCACCTTCTGTCTTCCTACCATTTGTTCAGATTCATATTCTTCCTCCGAAGGGCTTTGGTAATCCTTTCTCTTTCGTTTCTTCACAGGCTTGAGGATTTCATTGACATTGGTGCTGCTGGCAGAGTTTTCCACAATGACAGATCTGCATGGAGGAAGGGAGAATAAATCACTGCAGCAGAGCATGTGGCAATAGATTGGGTGGCAGTCAACACGACTACAAGAGAGTGACTGCTGAAGAATCACCATCACCCCATTTCTTACACACATATGCATTTTCATTCCTCCTGGCTAATGTGTACACTTCTCCTAGACAAAAACATGTCAGAGTCTCACTTTATCCTTGGTGACACCTCAGAGAACAGAGTCTGTAAGGCGGCAAGGCGGTGAGGTTGGAAATCCCCTCCTGACCCATGCGTGGTTCAGCCTGGGAGCACCTCTTGCAGCACCTCCCGCAGGAATCCTGCGCCAGTAGCTGCACATTTATGCAGCTGCAAACTAGAAAGCAGAAAATCTGGCTTCCCGTGACTCTTGCTGCCCCTGGGAACAGGTCTTCATACCTCTACATGGCAGCCAGAGCAAGCTACCTAAAGGAAAGAGGGAAACAGATACAGTCTCCAGCACCCACTAGAGAGACCTACATTTGCATGCCTTGCTGGAGAATACACAGCAGGAATTGCAAGCAGACAGACAAATGGTTACAGCTCTGTGCAGCACAGATTCCCTCTCCTTCACCTTTCTTTGAACTGCTGGTGACAGTGTTCACTGCAGAATCCCCTGCGTTCCCGGGTCCCGTCTGAGACATGTCGACGGCCACAAGTATCACAGTGACACATGCTCTCTGCTGTTGGCAGCTTGGACTGCTCTGGTACATCTGATTTAGGAGAAAGAGAAGAGAAGCAGGGAGGCCTAAAGGTCACTGAAGGAAGGAGAGCAGGAAGCAGTACTTATTTGCCTCGCTTGGGGTCTAAGCCAGACAGTAGCTGCTGCATGATGGTACCAACCCCAGAAGTGTCACAGCAGTGCCCTTACCCTGAGCAATGATAGGATTGTCTCTGCTGGTAGGTGGCACCTCTGAGTCCCCCTCTTTCTCTGGGTGACTCTCCTTTATTGGTTCCACTGGAGGCATCTTATCAGCACTCACCACCTTCAGCGTCCCGTACTCATTTATCCGAAACTATGTCATAGAGCCAAAAGGAAAA